ACAGAGCTCGCCACACCGTCCCAAAGCCCTCGGGTTTTATCTCCCAAAATCATTGCCCCCAAATTCAGGAATGTTAACCAGCACTTGTAGAAACTCCGCTGTGTTAGTAAGACACATAGTTGTAGTGATAACGAGCTGTAAGAGCATGCGCCAACCCGCTGCAAAGTAACTTAGGATAGGGTTGTGCAATCTCTGTCCAATTCCGACCTCCTGGTCCCTTTCCGGTGAGATGGAAGTGGGGTTTGCCCGTAACACTGCAAATCGAACGTCCGGTGCACTGCAAATTGACACGGTGCAAATCTGACAACTCAATGTTTCCACAAACAAAACGTGTATGCTTCTTCCATGCGGTTCCAAAACGGCAAAAATCGGCATAAACAACTTGTATGTGGGGCTGAGAACATAGTTGTTGCCAGAAGGGGAGATGCCAACACTTTGAACTTGCCGGGTTCTCCAAGATCCACGGAATTCTGAAACGGTCCAGCATGCGAATCAAAGAAAACATGTTCGAAGGCAAGCATTGCCCAACTGTATTTTCTCTTGTTCACTGGCTGTCAAAAAACAATCAGGCAATCCCCAAAGAAACTCTCGTGTACGAATCACTTTTGTGCGATCACGAGCCACTGAAAAACTGTTGCAAGGAGGCGCCATCATCACGGCTAGGACCTTCCCGGTCCAGATGCTGCACTTCAACTTGCGAACAACGCTACGACTTGTCAAGTCACATGTGTGCCCCAACCTAATGTCCCATTGCTTGCTCACAAAGCCTAACCTCTCACAGGCCAGTGCCACTCCTCCGCACCCAGAGAAAAGGTCTGCTACAAACTGCCCTTTCCCGTTCCGCCTAGGCGGCTGGAGTCGGGACACTTCTTTCTTCCAAGCATGATGTCGTCGAACGCCTCCTCGCAAGCCAGGGCGAAGTCCTTTGTCTTCTGCGGCACTTGCTCCCAGGTCCGAGCCAACCGGGCGGCTTTCTCGTACCTCACGCATGACTTTGAACTCTTCCACTGGCCTCTCTTCTGTACCTCGAGCTGCGACCTGTACTTTCGGCTTCTGTCGATGGAGGGGCCGCTGTGCCTCGTGTGATAAGGCTCCAGTGGCACCTCCATCTTCTTGGCAATCTTCTTTATCACTGCCAGGTACTGACTGTAGTCGAAGTCCCACAGGGCCGAGTTGCTGCTGGCCCTCTTCATGACCGTGAGGAACTTGCCAAGCCAACAATTCGTATAGGGAGAGTCTAACAGGACACTGACATCGTAGTCTCCAGTCTTTGAACTCTCCTGCAACTCTTCTGGGCTCAGAAGCAAGCTCCAACTGCTGGTCACTCCTGGTGCCGGTTTGATCAAACTGAAGGTCCTCAGCCGCAACAACTCGGAGGGGCGACTGTAGGTGGACACTGCTAGCATCACAAAAACGGCCATCTTGGAAAAACCCATGTTGATCATCAGACATGCCACTGCACACCAAATGCTCAAAGGGTATGGAACTCGCGACCGTCCAGGGCAAAGTCTTCGCCAACCTTTCAGACACCTCAGGGCTCTGGGGATCTTCTTCACCCCAGTCTTGCTGAACTGTGGGTGATGGTGCAACCAACTGGCTATGAGGCGGTCTCCAACATAGGCCTGGTGTCCTGCCAAAGAACAATGGTTCATGTACTGCGCCATCAACCTGTCCACCCCCTCGGCATCTTTCGGGTCCAGTCCCCGACACACTGCATAGTCCTTGAAGGCCTGAAGCTCTTTCTGGTACATTTTCTCTGCGGCTGTTCCAATGGCTCTCTTCTCCAAAAGACTCAGCCCATCCTTGTCCTTGCCGTCTATGAGGAAGTCCACATATTTGCGCCTCCGGTGTCGGGCGCGACTGTGCAAGTTCTTCTTTCTCTTCTGGGTCATGTCGACCTCGCTGCTGCTGTCGGAACTGCTGGACATGGAGAGATCGACTCCCAGGGTTTTGGTCTCCTCCCCTGGACTCTCCAGCGTGGGCAGTTTTCCCAGCACTCCCTTTGTTGCCAGGAGCTCGCTGGTCTCGACAGGCTTCAACAAGGCCTCCTTCTTGCTCGAACGACTCGGCGCAACAAGCTTTCCGGGCTTCAACACTTGCTCCACTCTGGCCGCCCTTGGAGGGACATCTCTCTCCGGGGCGGCTAGTCGTCTGGTTCTCTTGGGGATCTCCGAGGTGAGCAGCTTGGAAGGTTCGTCCGTGCCAAAACGAGATGGTTCGTCTGAACTATTCAACTCACTAGGAATCCACCTGAAGCTGGGCTGTATACCTCTAGCTATGCAATAGGCATTGAAAACCCTCACCTGCCTCAGGAGCCCATACTGACGACTGCGGCTACGCTCGAGTGCTAAGGTCAGTGACATGTTGTCCAACAAGAAAAGCTGTCGTGTCTGCGAACCGTACCGGCTCATCGCAATCCGCTTCATCGCTTTCACGGCCGCCCGGGCCTCAAGGATAATGATGCCTTCGTTGAAGCGCCACTTTCCCCAAAGCTTTGGCTGCCACAATTGCTTCCTCAGCAGGCGGGCTGGAACCTCCTCAAAACTTTGGTCCAGTTTCCACCCGCTGAGGTTGAGATAATCTTCAGTTGAAAGATTGCCTGCCTTCCATGCACCTGTCAACTCATCACGAATGAACCCTGCTGAAGTTAAGGCTGACTCTCTAGCTGGATGATTGTCACAACGTTTAAAGCGGCTCCGTTCCTTCTGTCGACCAACCTTTCTGACATCCTCTAGCCTCCAATGTGATGTGCATACCCCATAGCCAGTAGTACTGGCGTCGCTGCAACACACCAAACTGTTCCAAGGGCGCCACCAGTCCGCTCGAAGAAAAATCATGAGTCCTGAAAAGGCTGTGAACTCACGACGCACTGCATCCCACATTGCCACCGGTTCAAAGTAGTGTGCTCTTATGAACTTGTAACAACTGTGGAAGATCGACATGAGCATACGGTTGTTCAATGCGCAAAAGGTTGCATGGCCCAAGACAACTTCAACCATCTGTCCCGTCACCTGCGGCTTTTGTAAAAGACCTCTGATGCTCTGTCTGACCTTGTGATACCTCTCTGGGCAAATTCGGGAGCAAAGAGTCTTGCCATCCAATATTGCCCCCAGTGCTTTCGTTTCTTCACTGTGGACCTCTCCTGGATGAAGAAGAAGTCCCTTGCCTCCAAAGTGACTGTCCAGCTCCTGGAGCGCCGACTGGACGACCCCCCGGTGAGGGGAAACAATGCCAAGGTTGTCGACATAGACGTAGTGCCTTGTTGTTGCTCTTGCATTGTCTCGGACTGCTGAGCTCTTGAATACCACCGGCAAACCCTTGTCTGTGATCAAAGTGGAGTCTCTAATGACCTGGTCAAGGCACACTGATGCTCGTTGATCGAAAACCCCATACAAAGACTACCCGGCATAGGATAAACAATGTCATTGCAGCCCAATGTAACCCCATCCAAACACTTCCCTGTCAAACCAACCCAGTGAGCCTTGATCGGCATAAAGCAAAAGTATTCTGCAAGCCACCGAGGTTGTTTGAGCCTGTGGAAGCAATCTTTGACATCGGACAAACCAACATGTAGCTCCATGGATTGAAGTTCCTGCAAAAACTCTGCACTGCCTGGCAACACACCTTCCGACACCTCACATTCGATGCGACTGAACCCTTCACTCGAACAAAGTTCAACAGTTGGGGGCTCTTTAAACAATGCGTTGCTCGACCGTGCATCCACAATGAGTCGTATCTTCTGTTTGTCACTCTTATGCACAAAGAAAACTCCAACATGGTTCTTGGGGTGTTGAGTGAACTGCAACATGCCAACACTGTTCAACTTTTCAATGAACTCTCTGTAATGCTTCTTGTTGTTCGCCAAAACAGGGTCCCAGTAAGGGCGGGGGGCATCATAAGCGCCCTCCTCCCTAAGCATGAGCTCTCTACCCAACAGATATCGACGGGCATTCTCCGGCAGAAGGTCACGAGCCTCCGGAAGGTTCTCCAAGCTGCTCGGGAGAGAAATGCGCTCGAGTTTGTAGGGAGCCAAAGCCACAGGGACTTCGGGTTGGCGATACTCCGACTTCCCTTTGAGCAGCTCTCGTAAGGCTGCCTCAGGTTTTGGAATCTGCTCCAAGGTGCCCAGCCGTCCTGCGTCCTGGGCTAGTTCATGAATTCGTTGTAAAACCTCCAGCTGAATGCCATCTGGTTCAACATCTGTACCATGCAAAAAACTATCACATGCCAGCCAGTTCAAGCCGTCTACTGCCTCCTTCACCGTCTCATAGTGTCTCCACTTGCGATCCAAACGCTGTTGCGACCGACGGCTCCCGGCCACAGGCTTCTTCGGCAAAGTTGGAGAGGGCAAAGGAAACAAATCTCGACTCACTCTGGCTGGATCTGGGCGTTGTCCTCCCATAGCTGCCAGTCTGCTGGAGACCCCCCGAGAGGACATAGGGGGCCCCCCATCCGCCTGAGTCATGTGTCTTCCGGCGGAGCAAGCTGCTTCGCCTTGGCCTTGCGCTTGGCTTTGGCAGCTGGTCCGCCGGGAGGTAGGTTGCCGTCAGCCACGGCGGAGGCGGCAGCATCTTCTGTGGGGATCTGCAGCCGCTTGTGCTCTCTCATCTTCGTCCGGGCGGCTGCAATCTCAACTTCCTCCTTTCCTTTCTTGGCTGCCCAAGTGCGAAGGGAAGGAGAAACCAGATCCTCTGGACCTTGGTATCCCGACATGATCTTCGCCGCCCCCCAATCTGGAGAGGCGGAGGAGCCGCTGTTGTAGGCATCGACAATGCTCTGCACCCTGCGTCCCAAGGCCTCAAAACAGGCCAAACTGCCAAGGTTCAACTGGTCATAGCAGCCTGCCAATTCGAAGCTCTCCAACAAGGCACGCATTTCATGCATGACTCGATCATTGTCATGCACTCCTTTGTGTCGGGCCCAAATCAACAACCATTGCTTGGGGCTGCCACCATTCTTCAACATGTACTTCATCAAGTGGAGCACGGATTGGGGCCCCTCCAGGGGCCAGTCCGAGTAGGAATACTCCCTTGCCTCTTTTGTGGCCTCCCTCCATGACCGGTATCTCTCTCCTTGATCATCATAGCAAACACTCAGAGTCCTGGCGTCCTCTGAGACCTCAGCGTCTTCCTCACCTCCAGCCTCCTCCTTCTTGGCGCCAGTCTCCAGGCTCCTGCTAGGCACACCACGAAGCTCCAACCGACTGGTCACCAGCTTCTCTCGCTCTTCAACCATTGCGGGAACCTTCTCAACTTTGAGCAGCTTCATCAAGGTCCATCCCTTCTCATCAGGGATGGCTCCATGGTCGCTGTCCAACTGGATGCCCTTCTCCAAGCCTACGTTGGCCTCCTTCCCAAGGTCAAAGGCGGAGGTGTCATGCAAGGCGACCCACATGTGGCCCTCAGGGGCCGGTGCAAGTCCTGACCTAGGAAAGCCTGACACTGCCACTGGGGAGGGAATGGGTTCAGCGACATAGCCTCCATCTCGACGTCTCAACCTCCGGGGCACTATCAGGCGTCCCAGGTAAGGAGAAGCCTCCACCTCCTTGCCTTTCATGTCAATGACCTTGCGGGGTGTCCAACTCAGGGAGCCACTGCCTAACTCACCTAACTCGCTCCACAAGCTCTCTGAACCGGTCGTCATCGGGGTAGGAACTAAAACGATACACTGGTTGGCTGATACGGGAGAAGTGACTAAAGTCTGTCTTCTTCAGTTTGAAGCTGATGGGACCCTCATCTGAATGGCCTGACCAGTCCTCTCTATAGAAGTCCCCGTCAGGGGTCAGCACAAACCACTCAGTGTCACCAGCCCTCCAAACCATAAGCCGCTCGTGATAAACTGAATCATCACTATACCACACGACCGCCAGCTGTCCGGGCGGGCAACTGGACAACACCTCCACCGCGTCGTCTCGGGCTCGCAAATGCGACATCGGCCGGAACCCAATCGACCTCCACAGCCTTTCGGGAAGACCGACCAAACAAAGCCCAACTGACCAACACGCCCAGTGCAAAGCCTAGTCCAATGTCCAGGGTCCTCTGCTCAGTTCCAGCGCAAAAACACTGACAAGAACAGGTCTGGTTGTAAAAGTGGTGACTGCTTTCAGGGTGCCTCGAATCGTGGGATCCACTCCTAAAGCTCAAATCCGCAAGCCGTGCGAGCCAAAGGAGCGCCACGTTCGAGGGCTTCATGAAGCGGTCGCCCCGTCCCCCTTTTAGCTTGAGCATCATACACCACGTCATTTCAAAAGTGAACTTCCTAGTTCAGTCTTCTCGTGACTACACCTCCATATATATATATATATCTGTGTGCGTGTCAGGGTTTCCCATGTGGAGTCTTTTCACCTTCAAAAACACAGTCTCGTTTCGATGAACAAACATCTTTTTCGTTCCACACCTTTTTCCCGCCTCAACTCGAAGAGTCCAAAAACAAAATGATATTAAAAAATAGAAAACAAAAACAACACACCCACCCTCCACGGTCCTCCTCCGTCCATCCCCACCGCTCTTCGGGTGCGGTCGCGGGCATGTCTTCTCGTCCCCCGTGTCGATGTTCCGGATCCGGGTCGTTGGGCCTTCCGCACAAAGGAACGGAGACCGGGTTCACGCAGCTGAAAACGGAAGAAAACGGGTGACTTGGCTGGACTGAGGTGATGTTTCTATGTTGTTGTTGTGTTTTTATGTTGCCTTTTTTCCGAAGAAGACATTCTATGAGTAAAACCCCTGTCGGATTTCTACTAAGAAGGCTACCAGTTCAGGGTCGGGGCAAGCTATTTCTTGCGAACTTGTATCGACATTCCAGCATAAGTTCGTTCCCTATACCTTTGAGAAACTCGAACGGTCACAGGTTTGAAGCCTAAGTTCATATGTCAAGAGAATGGAAAAGGATTCTATACTGTTGGGCCATGTGACTTTACACATAGAAACTGAACAAGACTGATGATGGGTTGCTTCAGCGTACTAAACTTAACCCGGCGTCAATAAGCTGTTGAACTTCAGAAGATATCAACAGACATTGTCTGTTGATATCTTGTGGGCTGTTATTTGGGATCCACCAAACAAGCAAACAAGGGACTTACTCCCTGCGCTACTTCCTCCCCCAAAGAAACACTTTTGGGGGACGGAATTTTGGAGGATCTACGCTTTTTCGCGTACACCAATTAGCATCGTACAACGATTTCAAGAGATGGAAACAACGTGTCGTCCGACGTCCAAAGACTTCCCCCAATCCGGTTGGGAGCCTCCGTTTGCGCGGTTCGATGGACATGAATGCTTGTCAGTGAACACATCGTTGACTGGTTGGGTCAACCACTGAAAACCCGGTCGCGCCGACCTCCGAAATCCGCACTTTCTCCCACCTGGACCCCGCCTTCCATGTCGATGCAAACCACGGCATTGAGATTGTTCTCCCGATCATTGAAGGGCCTGGAAAGTGGGATGGCGACCAGTACCGATGAACATAGTCCAGTACCGAGGAACATCCTGGCCCCTTCGCAAAACGAAAGTGTAGCAGGCGGCGTCCATCTATCGCGCTGGGCACGAGCTGCTTTGGGCGTGGCTGTGTGGCTTTATATAGAACTAGGTTCTGCAAACAAATCCCAAACACAAAACAAATGAAACCACTGGTTCTTCGAGCAAGGACGTTCACCCTTTTTAGGCTTTTTGCCCCTTGGTTTCCCCCCTTCAGACTCCGCTTGGAATGTGAAGAAGTACACCTCCTGTTCAAGTTCGTGTCCAAAAATGTTCCTTCGCCTTCCAGCCTTCGGGTGAAGCCCCCCCCTTTCTCTTCAGCGTTCTGGCATAAGACATTTGTGCAAAAACCAGCCATGTTTGATGTTTCCGGGAAAGTTCGGGTTTGTTTCACACTTTCAGCAATACAGTCTGCTTCTGCCCTCGCCTCACCCGCACCCCCACCACCACCGCTTCTCCGGCGGCCATGGCTTGCACCGGATCGGTGTGTGAGTGACGCCGGAAGACTGGGACGGTCAATGAGTCGTTGCGTTCCGTGGGCATCCTGCAGGAGGGAAAAATGATGTCCCTCTCCACCACGGAGGAGGCATTCTCCTTTTCACCGCCCGAATTCAACTAGGAAACATAGCATGGTATTTGAAGCAGCTTGGGCCGCTTGGGTGTGAAGTTCCTCAAATGTGGTACTCACTACTCTTCAGCACTACTCTGAATCCATATGGGATCCTTATATTGAGCGGTAGACGGTAGATCGAGGCTGTCCAGCTAGCTGTCCACAAGGGGGTCCGTTGGACAAAAAAAAGGCTGTGAGGCAGTGAGGGCTTTGGATGGATCGGCATTTGGGTGGCTGGTCATTTGCTTGCATCAGAAGCGGCCTTGGTTGCTTTCTTGCACATGCGTTTCGTGGTTGCCTTGGTTGTGATCATCCAAGTGCCTTCGGAAGTGAATTGTTTTCAGCTCCAAGCGTTTGTTGAGGCCTCTCAAAACAAAACTATTGGAGGACGGATGGCCCAAGAGTCCGAGAGTGTTTAGGTGTTTCTTTACTCTGGTGTAAGGTATGCCTGCACTCTGATGAAACAGTAAAGAAAAGAGAGCCGTGCGATGGTGAGAGATTCCCCACAAGCACGGACTCACGCAAGCACACTTTCCACTCAGGCCGTGCCAATCTGCATGGCACAGCGACATCACAAACGTAATTTCGCCACACGCGTGCCACAGACTATAGATACAGATACAACATGATACAACAATGTCACACCAGCACAGTGTGCCACGGACTAGGTACAACGACATCACACCAAGCCTCGTGGACACTGCCAATCAACCTGGTACCTAGCGACACGCACGCCGCGCTTACTCCATCATGTTTCCCTTCCCCAAAATGGCACGAAAAGCACTTTCCACCGAAGCCGCACAAACCCGCATCGCACAGCCTGATTTTGCCACACGGCGTGCCATCATCCACTTTGGTAACATCCACCTTCGTTTTCGACGACTGTTACACACTTTGGCCACTTCCACCTTCGGAGTGGTTGGTTGAGCAGCTGCGCGGAGACTTCTTGACATTGAGCTCACACTGACACAAGAAGAGTACGAAAGTTGGAATACAAACAGTCAGTTGCTTGAACATGTTCCTTCGGGGCATTTCATTTCATCTTAGTTTCACTTGACCGAATTGGCTCAAGTCAAGGCAAAAGTCTGATGCGTTGCATTTCGATTGACACGCACAAATCGAGAAGTGTAAGCCACTCCACATAGAGAAGTTCCCCAACTTCCTAAGAATTGTTTTTAGGTTTGCTACCAAACTCTAGTGCCCTCCACTGAGCCGAAACTCCGTTTTCGTTTACCTTCATGCGTGTATCTGCAAATGCGAAGTCAGATGAAGTCATATATCAATTTGCAACTGCTTCCTTCCATTGTTTGAGCACTCTATATAGGGTGGTGCATTTCAATGTAGATCAGCAAGGAAGGCCACATACACAAAGCAGCAAGTCCAGACTTACTCTGCAAAGCAACAGAACACATGCAACTCCAGCACAAAAGTGTCCAAGTGTGCTGTCAAAACAAAAGCACGTCCAGCCCTCTACGCAGCACGCTTTCTCTCCTCGCATGGATTGCGTATGCTAAAATAGCTTCTGTCCCGAAGTCAAGACGTGAACCTGGCCATGGATCCAAGTTGAAAGCGGCAAACGTTTGCAAACTTTGAACGTCATAAGGCCTTCTGCTGGTGGCTTGGCCAGCGCTCGGAGGCATTTGTAACAGAGAAGAAGCTCTGAACTGATCCACACAAAAAGCTCGGTTTGGACAAGACTCGGGAGCAAAACCTGGAGGCAAAGACAAAATTGCCACTTCCCAGAAAAGTTCCATTTGCAAGGGTCCATGTCAGAACAGCTTTCGGCCATCTTCACCTACCAGCTACCGAAAAGATGGAGGTCCGCTTGGGGGTTCTCATCCGCGGGTCTCGGCATCAGCGGCCACCGGTTCTCGACTTGGCCTTCTGCGTTCGAGGCCACGGCCCGGAGCGACGACGCGGCCCCGACAAGGCGGAGCAACGACCTCAGCAATAAACATCGAAGCCGAGCTGGCAGAGCCTGGCAATGGGTCAAAACTTGGAGCTTCAAAGCCAGGTAGGTTAACCATGGTTAATCTCCACAATCACTAAAGACAAGGCCCCGATGTTCACGGGCAGCCGAGACAGTCGGCAGCGAGACACTGAAGCGTCCACACAACCAAGGCTGGCACGACCAAACCGGGCTTGGTTAAACAACTTCAGTGAGAGATCAAACAACTTGCAACTCCCTGCAAACCCACCGTAACGACCTTCCCGAACTTCTCACAAGTCATCCCAGAAACACAAGTCATGGTAGGTCTACCCAGCTCCCCAGCAGCTACTCTGAGCATTCTGAAGCCCCAAATAGCGTGAGTGCGCAATGGCTTTCAGCGTGTGTGATGGTTTTTCCTTGTTGCAGCTACAGGAATGCCTTGAGCACCTTTAACATAGCTTATATAGATCCAAAGTGGCATCACGACTTGAGATGACCGGTTGACCTCCACGCGCCAGTCCAGTGTTTACGCGAACTGGGAGGGCACCGCGAACCGAGGCACTTCACACCGATCCAACTAGATAGCACCAAACTGAGCGGTGTCACTATGGCGGTGTCACCTGCTGTCGAAGACAGAGTGAGCTCGACGGCAGGCTCTACATCCCGGCCGAAACACGATCTCTGCTTCTCACGAAACCAAGACATTAGCATTTATGACAGGTGGCAAGTCTCCACCGTCTCCACCTCCAACTGCTTGAAAACGTCCACCTCATTCTGAAGATCATGAGATACCCCTTCTTGCGGCCCAGCTGTTTGGACCAGGTCGAGATGCAGATGCGGTTCTGCCTTGAAGACTCCATGAAGGTACTGTCTTCTTGGGCCATGTTCTGATACAAATACCAAACAAGCCTGAGCAAAATGTCTCCTCTTCAGGAGAGGGATTTGCAAAGGAGAGTCGCGCCACTTGGGGTGGCTGGGGAGTTGTCTGTCGAGAAACAAGTGTCGGACGAGCTGAGTATCCACTATGTAAGCTGTTCCAGGCTCTCTGGCACTAGAGCTTGGGACTTGGGAGCACCTGTCATCTTTGGTCACATAAACTGCCTGCATGGAAAATTTAGCATCGTTCAAAACCTCCTCAGAATTCGTTTTGATGGGTTATTAATTCGCGAGTTCCTTTCGCAACACTTTTGCGGCTTGCGTTTTGGCTTTCGCATGCTGCAAAAACACTGTCGCAAGCTTTCGCGAACAGAACTGATTTTGCAAGCTGTCCAAAGCATTCGTGAGCTTTCACGCATGAAAAGTTCGCGAAATCTTTCGGGAATCTTTCTCGACTGCGTGTTTACCTTTCACAGAGGCATCTTACATTAACCCCTCTTCAAATTGTTACATGGGAAGTGTTGGCATCTGCTCAATTGGTCACAGAACCACGGCTCCTCTTGGGTTTCGAAGAAAAATAAGCGAAATTGAAATTGGGCTGTTCGTATGAGTTTCAGGCAAACCAACTGCATTTTGGAATGGCTGCGACATTCGAAGCCGCATCGGGTTCAAGAATCGCACAGATTCAGACATGGTCAGAAAAAGACATGGTGCCAAATGGTGGCCCCACCTATGCTGGCAATGGGTCTGGGGATCATGGGACCTATACAACTTGTTGGTTGATGGTTGGTGTTCAACCAAGGGAATACCCATCATTCACCCTGGTAGGTTCCAGAAGTTTGATAGTGGAAGATCAGATCCCAAATAAGATGTTGTCCCACCAAGTGCAAATCTGTTCTTTAGACCACTCCTGGTTCCTGGAAATATGGTGCATAATGAAACGGCAACTCTTGACATCAGGATCCCTTTCTCTGTGCCCTGCAGATGTGTGCCAAAGCAGGTGATGGATCCTGCTGGGCGCAAAGTACCCTCGGCCCTAACACTCCGACCAGTTCCTTCAGAAGCAGGTCTGACATTGGGCAGTCTTTTTCCACATGACCCTTCGCTCCGAACCTCTCGGTTGCGAATGGAGTCCAAAAATTCCCCACGCGAAGGCCACATCAACTGAACCTGTAGGTCCATAGTTCGGTTTCATCATCAGCGACGTGATGCTCTTCTCGCAGGTCGTGGGGTCGACCAGTCGACAGTCCGGTCGAATCAGACCGACCTGGCCTTTGGTCGAACATTCCGATGTCTTCCGGTCTTTGAGAGACTTGTCAAGTTGCAAAACGGTACAAAATCGAACCACACAAGCTTCTACAAAGCTTCTCATTTGTTTTTTAGCCTGACAAGTTGCATCACTGACAGCACACCTAGCAGGTTCAAGAAATTCAGGACGTGCCTGCAAACTTGGACGGCGGCTTTTCAAGACTGCACGCACTGCACGCCAACAGCAAACACACAATCTGGTGTCTTCGCCAAGATTGTGGTTGCTCCGTTTTCCAACATGGACACATTGGAATCACTACACCAGGGCCATCTGCAAGTCCAAAGGACTTGCACTGCTCCTCCAGCTTCATGAAAGAGAACAAAGTTCAAAGTTAGTTGATGGCTGCAATTGAAAATATGCTGAATTGACCGTTTGCATCAAGCGCCATCCCATGGAGCCAAGACTGGGTTGAATCTCTTCTTCCGACTGTTTGCAAACGCAAGTTCCCACAGCACAGGGCGGATGGAGATATGTTGCTTGTGGCAGTAGCTTGTGGATGTTTTCAAGTGTGCTATGGGCTTCTCAAACACATGTATGTGAAACGCTTTGAGCACAGGGCGTCTGCCAAACAAAAAGACATCGTCCGCGGCGCATGCATTGAATACATGCTCGATCCGGCTGCACCGACCTGTGAGCTTTTCAAGCGTCGACAAGTACTTTACTGAATCCTTGCTCTTTTCTTTGCAATGTCTGCAAGAAATGAGTGTCATCACAAACAGCTACATTCGTCGTCGAGTCCAGTT